ATTATATGCCAGCACTTTACAGTATGTATACAGCGTTACAGATTTTCAATAATAATAATTAATTAGGTTACACTTTATTTTAAGGTGTCCTTGTTACAGTGTAATTATACATTTAAGTACATGTACTTACTATATGGTTAGGTTTAGGATTAGGGTTTGGTTTAGGGTTACTTGCATGTAATTATGCATAATTAAGTGTTATTATAATAGTAAGTACATGCAACATGTATAACAAGGTCACCTTAAAATAAAGTGTTACCATTCATTATATTCATTAAATAACTTTTTTATTAGAAGTAATGAATAATTTTTAAAGCTGCATCTTTAAGCTATAAGGAGTACATTACTGCAGTGCTTATTCTTTTGGGTGGTTTTACTTTTTTCTGCATATTAAGCTGGGATAGAAAGTATTTTATCATCGACAAACTATAACAATACATGTAATAAATCTGTCACCAAAACCTAATTAGCTCAATGTTAGATCTTGAAACCAGACATATTACCCAGGTTAGAGTAACCACTGTAACCTTCTTAACTTTCCTCTCGGATCATTAAACAATAGACGTGCCATCTCACATTGGCTTCCCTGAGGATGTTTGTACCGGGTTGCCATCAATCAAAAAAATACATGCCATAAATCTGACAAGTGCCAAAGAAGAAGAACAGCACGCAGCCATGTGGTTGCTTTGATCATGCTGCATGTTTCTGTGTGCGAAATCAGCTGCTTCACCTCGGGCCACGAGCAGGTGCGTGCGTTCCTTCCTGTCAGAGCAATCAAAAAGAAGTTAGGTTGTGATATGTAGTCAGGTGGCGGGTGTATGATTATATGGAGGATGGAAATAGGATGCATTACTGAAGGGAAAAAAAACCTAACAGCTTGGATTAGTGAAACAAAAATTATTAAATGACATTAATGTTTTAGTTAATAAATTACGCATGTATTGTAACAGTTATTCGTTGACTCAAGCCTTTATTGTGTATTTTTTGTTGTTTGCTTTTTTTTTCTTGTTTCACTGTCTCATGTTTATGTTATTTTTGTTGTCTTTAATTTTGTTTTTAGTCTTTTTTTTTTCTTTGTTACATCTCAACCAATCAAGGTCTTCAAGATTGCCAGAAACGTCTAAGTAGGTTAAAGCTAAACTTTTTAATGTGGCCCTCACAGAACAGGAACACCCCTGAACTCCGTGGTCAACCAGCTTGTCCATAAAGACATTTTGGTCAACCAGCTTTCAAAATTTGAATGGTTCACCAACTAGTCTAGCTCAAAACCTGCTCTAACCAGCCTGGTCTTTAGTAGGTTAATGGACATCAGAAATACCTTTTTGGTGTTTCAACTTTGTGAAATATGTTTTCATGAAAGACCTGAACCTGATCTTATATGTCCACATGAGTTAATCAGCCTGGCACAGTAAACATGCTCTTAATTCAGCAGAGCAGGTCTGTAAAATATTATCTTGCTATCGTGGTCATCAGAGGCAGATGTTTGACAGCGCCAGCTGTGGACCCTTGGCATTCATTTACGGTCCCTGCTGTAAGGAGGCCAGGCTGGAGCAAACAGATTGCCTTGTCTACCCCTATTAGTGAGCTCTTCCATGGCCAACACCAGCCTTCTCCAGGAACCAGTAGACAGGAGGCACACTTAGTTGCACAGATGTACCCTAATCGTTCCAGCCCTCATTTTTCACTGTATACACACACACACGCTGCAATGAAGCCGAGCTCCATCTGTGCCTGTCTGATCATTAGGATCCACCATTTTGGGTTTCCAGCCCAAACGATGCATAAAGAACCAGGCCTGGATCTGGCGCGACACAGAGGGGGATGTGGGTTGGGCAAGCCGTATGGTTTGGTCTCATATGTCTTCATTTTCATCTTAAACTTTGGTATGGAGATACGTTTAGCCATTGGAGCATATTGCTAATGAGTAGGGTTTGGTTAAAGCTGGCAAGAGTTGGTCACCTCAGTATTAGCCAGAAAGAAAGCAATCATGGACATGTTCCAAACTGGAAAAGCTAAAAAAGATTTATTTGCCACTAAATGTGTGGGTTTGGATATTTGTATGTTTTCAGAAGAGGCCATATTGCCATACAACAAACCATCATTCCCATCTCCCGGGGGCCACAGCTCTTCTGGGACGGCCTCCTCTAAAGGGTCAACAGGTCCTCGTAAAGGTGAAGGGACAAGGGGACAGCACCAGCGCTCCAACACGGAGCAGGGCGAAAGCAGCTACATGGGGATCAACGCGCAGTACTCTGGAGAGTTATGTGAGTCTGAGCAGGTTATTCTGGTACAACTTT